TGCATGTTCTCTAGAATACACCTGTTATAGGAGGGTTATTTTCTGACTAAGTTTTTTACATTTTAAATGCAAGTATTGAGTGCCCTGAAAATTGATGTGTGTGTCTGCAAGGATTTCCATAGGCACATAGGAGATGCTCATGATCTGAGCTGGGTGGACATAAGCCAAACCAGTCTGGAATCTGTGTACCTGTGCTGGTGCATTGCTGTGCCTGAGCTCGGTGCACCTGCAGAGCTTCCAAACCAGATCTGGTTGGGTTTTGACCAGCTTGTTCCCAGGAAGATGTCTGCAGACAATGGCATATATATATAGACCTTTTATTTAACAGTTTATGCTGCCATCAGCACTAGTTGCTGGCAACATTGCTTGTTTAAATGGAGATAAGAATATGTAAGTAGAGAAGAATTATAACCTCAGTTGGGAGAAGGATATAATTAAATGTGTATAAATACTTTTACAGACAACCCAGTTAAGGTTGTACTTATGCCCAATATTATGGTAAACCGCTCACTTTAGAATTGGTGGTAGTTCACAGATACTTTAGTCTATTCTTTTTTAATCATTCTTAAATTGTCACTTCTAATGTGCTAAAACAAAGAATAGTTTAATGTGGAGGTTTCTATAAGCAGTTTGCTACCCACCAATCCTCTTTTTAATTATTCAGTGAATAAGCTTATGAGTCTGACACCAATTCCAAGGCATACTGTAATTCGCTGCACCTTCCCTGCTAAAGCTAGGTGACGTTTTAGGAAGGAAGGAGAAACAGAGTGGGGAAGTGAAGTTAAAATTGCACTAAATCAACATTTTTATTTAAACTATATCCCTGATTTTAAAAGACATGCAGTTTTGCCATTTTCAGAACTAATTCTTTCACTTTAGAAATGCTAAAACATTGTACGCAAAATCAAACTTCCACTTTAAAACCGTTTAACTGAATGAAATTTAAACCACTGAGTGAAACAAATGGAGAATATAGCTCTTGGGGCAGGCAACTGAGTTGTTCCCACATATCTTAAAATAACAGTTCAGCATGACTGGTGTTAGTTACATTCATTTCCAGATTTTATATCTTGACCAGTTCTTTTCTGATGCATTTCAGGGATTAGGTTTGCCATTTGAACCTTTGAGCTCTCATATAATTCCTTCACACACTTGCACTTTCTGCTGTGACCTTTCTCTTTTCTGCCTTACTTTATGCCCAGATTGTACTTTTTTGTTGTTTTCCCTTCTTTATAGTTTAGCTTAGTTTCTGTTGTGTCACATTTCCTGCCCTGCTTCAAAGACCCTGTGTGTATTTGACATAGGTACATATATCCCTATGAGCAATTAGTGCTACATACCTTACATCTAAAAGGAGGAAAAAGAGAGGAAACAAAGCACTCTGAGACAATCACATGTGATTATATAGTGCTTCTTACGTATAGAATTTGACAGAATCCAGTAATGTTGCAGTTTTTCAATAGCTTTCACCCATTTTCACTCCCATGTACTCAAGTACCTGGCCAAAAGCTATATATCTGATACAAATTTTGTTTTAAGGCCTGCCAAGAAATAAGAGGGCTTTTATTACTGAATGATTCATCAGTGCAGAAGTTGTTTTGGTCCTACTGGAGTATTTTCTATGATGGAGAGATAATTGCCACTGTTGTAAAATATTTTTATTGAGAACAGTTGACATAAAACACTGCACAGAAACTGATCTGTCAGCTTTGTTGTTTGGTGAATCATAATGCGTTGTGTATTTTGACTTTCTTTTTGCTTGAAATATCTCTGTGAAGATTAAAAAAAAACACTAAATTTGCCCTATTTGTAATTGCAAATGCAAAGGCGACATTTCATATGAGAGTTTAAAAGTTGCTCTTTTTTTCTTCTGTTTCTCAGTTTAATGGGTACTTTACAGAAGGCAGCAACATAGCGGAAATATTTAAATATATTTTTGGAACTAAATTTTTCAATCTTTTAAAGCTGAAAAGTGATTGGAGCTAAGTTCTTTCACCTTTTGAGGGCTAAGTTCTTTCACCATTCAAAGCCAAAATCCTGGTATTTTACTGAACAGAATGTATATGGGCTTGGAGCACGGGAAGTGTTGAAGACTGGGACCCATGATGAACAGTCACTCCTGCAGCTACCTCCCCTCTCTGCCCCTCGTGAGATTGTCTCTGCTTTAGCCCGTACCAGCCCCGTGATACAGTGTGCAGTGATTAGAAGTCGTGGCTTTATAGCATAATGCCTCGTGATGTAAGAACACATCCTAGATAAGTCTTCTCTGAAAATGTTGTTTGTGGAGGGTGGAAGAGTGGTAGGGTCAGCGGCTTTGGAGCCATATACTCCACAGTGAATTTGCAGTGGAGCCAGTGGTCAGTATGATGGCCATAGAGTTCTTGTCCAAACCATATCAAAGGTTTGGCAGGCTGCATTTTGGAAACATAAATTCTAAAATCTATATGCTAAAATGTGAGTCACTTTCTTCATACTGAGATTTTTGCTGCCTTTCATGTACTATGAGCTCCTTAATTGAAAGGTACAACCTACAAGTGAAGTGGGGGTTTTTTTGTTGTTTTTTTTTTTTTTCCCCCAAGGAATTAATAGGAGTTTAAATAAATGACTGAGTGTGATTCTTTCATCCCAGACCCTTTGTAATGCAATGACAAGGTTTCTCTCAGTTGTAGACTCGTTGATGCAGACATTTATATTGTTTCTTCAAAATTATGTGATAGAATGTTTCATAAACAAAATGGTCCTTCCAACTGCAAGTATTTAGCAAATTAAACTGTCTTCAGTGCTTCTTCAGTAGGTCTAATAGATCCAAAAGTCAGAACCTGGAGACTAAATACAGTTCTCTAAAGGCAAAGTACTGTTCTTCTCTGATCTTCTTGGCATGTGGCCCTTGGCTTTTGCATTTTATTTTGTGGTAATGGGTAAGAATATTAGAAAATAGATTAAGAATCCTTTCTTCTTCTGCCTAAATTCTACTTCAGAGCCCCAGGAATGTCACTGACCACAGCAGCATTCCCAGATCTACTTGCATATTTAAGAATACCTTCATTCTGTAAGAGCAAAGAAACACAAAATAAGCTCTAGGGCTGCTGTTTGAATGTCTGATATAGCTTTGAATTTGCTGATCATAACGTCTTTGTGAATGTAATACAAACAGAAATGTTTGAAATTCAAGTGTACCTTGTTTATAAATCATCCACAGTTGCAAACAGAAACACGACTCACCTCCTGAATTATCAAAACTATGTGTGTGCTTATTTTTACACACATACTGATACACACATGCATGCGTACCTACAGTAAAGTTGTTTTTTTTTTTTTTTTTTTTATTTTAGGTGTATGCTAAGAGTTCTGGATTCCTTTGGAACTGAACCAGAGTTTAACCACGCCCATTATGCCCAGTCTAAAGGCCACAAGACACCATGGGGAAAGTGGAACCTTAATCCACAGCAGTTTTACACAATGTTCCGTAAGTATCTCTGTGTTTATGAATAATCATAGAATCATAGAATCAT